CTTCACGACGAAGGGGCCACCCGCGGTTTCAACTTCACGACGAAGGGAATCGTGCAGAAAAGCATTATCCATCTCTAGATTGGATTTCAACTTCACGACGAAGGATATCCAACTCAAAGAAGGCCTGTCTGTCAATAAACTTCCTAGTTTCAGAGTCAATTTCAACTTCACAGCGAAGGATATTGGCCTCGAAACAACGCAACTTACATTGGATTTCAACTTCACAACGAAGGATATCCAATTCTAAGGCTCAACTTCACGACGGAGGGGCCATATACAATTCTAACTTCACAAACAGATTGACCCAACTTGAAACAAATTTTGTCTCTCTTGAGACAGTTTCCCTTGAAACAAAATCTTTTAATATGTTTTCCTTTAAACAAATTCTGTCTCTCTCGAGACAATTTCTCTTGAAAATTTTGTCTCCCTTGAGACAGTTTCTCTTGAAACACAAAATCTTTGAATTTATTTCCCTTAAAAAAAATTTGTTTACCTTGAGATCATTTTTCATGAAACAACAAATATCTTTGAGATTGTTTCCCTTGAAACTAATTCTTTCTCTTTTGAGATAACTTCTCTTGAAGCATCATCTGAATCATGTCATTCAAATCAGAGGCAAATCAAATTTATAGCATAACTCAAGGCAAGAAGGGCTACCTATCAAAACTGACGAGTTCGATTCTATTCAGCTCGATGCCGCATCAACCGCATGGTGGTGTCCAGGAACTACTTCCTAATACTCTGAGTTCGATTTAAACTTCGCGACGAAGGATTTTGCGCTCAGAATTTTCTAGTTTCGACTTAACGTCACGACGAGGGAGTCATTTTGTGATTCAATTCAAATTAACAGATCAGTCATTACATTAGATTTCAACTCTACAACGGAGGGCATTCGATATGGACGAAATTTGTGTCTTTTTATCTTTGTCCTATTTTTCGTTCATTAAAAATGACAAAGAGGGGCAGCTATAGACACCAAATTTCGACCGCTCAAATTATAATATATACATATATATCATATTATTATATTATATGTTTATTTACATTTGTATTTCTGGTTTACAGGTTCGATACATCAATTACAAAATAGCCCAAGCAAGAATCAAACAAGTGGCCCAACAGCAGTGACCCAAAGTCCGCAACCCACTTGAAAACTAGGGTTTCTAGAGCCCTAGTCCACGCATTGCTTCCAACGGCGCCACATGGCCAAGAGTCCCACGCCTCACGTCGTTCTCTCCAAGTTGTGTGGTCGTACGTCTCACCTCCAACAACCCCGAAGAGGCACACAAAACAACAGAACCAACCAAGGAGCATTAGAGTTCTAAACCGAATAGGACTCTGAAAATAGCTTATTTTTGTGACTATAAATAACATGCACTAATGTTCACACGAAGAGGCAGAGAATATTACGCACAAAATAGACACGAAAATTACGAGCAAATGCAGAAGCAAATACACACAATAGACAGATTATTAGGCATTAAATACGAGCAAGTGTCGATCATGAAAACTAGGATCATTTGTACTTTTTTTCGAAGCAAAAAATAAAGAAAATGTGTTGTTTACCTTTGACATGGCTTATGTGTTACTTGCATGTTGATTCCCTTTGGTTTTAAGCGTGAATGGGCCGATGAACATGAAAGGGAAACCGAGATCTTCTCCTTTAGATCTACAGTTCCCCGAGGCTCGGTTTTAAAAAATATTTTGATTTTTAAAACAAGGAGAAGATGGGCTTTCGAGAAATGAAAATTTTTTAAACATTGGCCGTCGATGACCAGCAGTCGTCGCCGGTCAACAGCGGCGACGAGGCGGCGCACGGTTGTTGGATTCTGGAATTCCTACCGTGTTTTTCATTTTGAAGAACATATGAGAGAAAGTTTGAGAAAGGGGGGAAAGCATTTCGTGTGAAGAGGAGAAATGAAAAATTATAACATGTGTTTTGGCTTTATATCGACTCGCATGAGCCACGCCCGACCCGACCCTACGCGCGTGACCTGCGTGTTTTCACACAGAAGGGGGTAAATCACCCTTTTGGTCCCCCTAGTTATTTAAAGGCCTATTTCGATGGCAAATTTGTCTCAATTTGGCCACTGATTTTTATTTTCTTTTAATTTGGCCACCCAATTCACTGTTCTCTTTAATGTAATCCTTTATATGTAATTATTATATTTTATTTTATTATTATTAGAAATTGTTTCCCTAATATTTGATTATATATGTATATCTATATCTAGTATTATTATTTATATATATTTAATTTATTTACTATATTTACTATATTTATTTATTTATTTACTATTATTTTTATTCCTATATCTTAATATATATATATATATATATATATATATTATTTATTTATTTGTATTTTGTTTTCCTAAAACTTGTGTATATATGTATATATTTTTTATTTCTTTTTAATTATTTTATTAAATATTATATTATATATATTACCTAATTTTCCTAACTTTTTCTTTTTCCTCGGGGCCCCTTCATGTCTCCTCTTTTGACCCATTTTATTTTTTTTCCCGGTGCATTAATATAGTGGTCCCCCTTTATTTGTTTTCTTTCTAATTTCTTTGTTTTTGTTTTTTTCTCCTCACATTATACATATATATTTATTTATTTTTACATAATATTTTATATCCCTATTATTTTTCTTAGCTATTGTTTTTACTTATTTTATTAATTATGATATCTTATTTTATATATATATATATATATATATATATATATATATATGTATATATTCTTTATATATATATATATATATTACTTTTGTATACGTTTTATTTCCATTTTGTATTTGTTTTTACTCTTGTTTTTTTTTTTGTTTGCTCTTTATGTTCTTATATTTTTTCCCCTTATTTATTTTTTCATTTTATTTTCTGTTTATTTATGTTAGCATTTTATTTGTTTTCCTTATGCTATTTATTTTATTATCATTTTCATCTTTTTGTTTATTAGCATTTTATATCTTAATCCAATTCGGCTTCTCATTCCAAATTTAACATTTAAGTCTTTTTAAGCGTTTTCGTTCAGCCAATTAGAGGTAAGTAATTCGGATCATATTTTTACCTTTTAATTTAAATTTACAACTTTCTTAATTAAAGACAATTGAAAATTACGTAGTACCGAAAGGGCGGTTCAAGGGTGCTAATCCTTCCTCGACCGTAACCGACTCCTGAGCCCGACACATTTCTGGTAAGACGCAGATCATTTAAGAAACAAGGTGTCCGATCAACCCATTTTTTAAAAAAATAATTGGTCGGTGGCGACTCCTAATCCATTTTTCTAAATCGAAGCCCAATTCCGGAGCCCACCCAAAAGGCGGTTCCGACAAAATTAAGACTCAATTTTGATATGTGTAGTTGGAGAGGAAAATGAGATTATAAAGACCCTAAAAATATTCTTTAACTTTTATACATATTTACACGTATATAAAACTATTCTTATTTTCTTAGTTTGGGTAATCGGAAAAAAATACAAAATATTTATTTGATGCAAACTAATTCACTGATTATTTGATGTTATTTCAAAATTGGGTTTTGAATAAAAATTGACCAAATGATTCCAATATTGGAAAATCATTTAATTTATTATATATATAGATATAAATACATAAATAGTAAAAAAATTTGATGACAAATTGAATTTGATAAAAGTATGGATTGAATCGAATATTGAAATTCGGGGCATTACAATTGTTATAATACCATTAAAACTTATATTTATGTTACAACAGTCACAAAGTAAATTATTATTGTTTTAACTTTTAACAGAAATTTAAACTTTGGATCTTTTGCACAAGAGTTCAAATGCTTAGTCACTATGTTAGACCAAAAATGTATTAGTATTTCATTAAAATTAATATTTAAGTTAGAAAAACCTTAAATTTTTTAAAAGTAATTGTTTATTTTTAAAAAATCATAGTAAGATTATCATCGTTTTTTAAAATAATTTAGATCGTTTGTATTATTTTCAAATATTTTTAATTATATTTAAATTAATATATAAATATTTTGATTTTCAAAATAAAAACATGAGAATATGTGAAACATTAAATAAGTAGCTTACGCTATAATACATTAGGAAAACAAAAACTGAACTTAATTCATATACGTTACTAAGTCGTCTCCCAATTTTCGTTCACTATTTCTTCATTTTTTTTCTGTTCTTAATCTTTCTACTCCTAGCTCTCGAAATTTTAGAGTTGAATCTTCTTTTCCTTTTATTCTCTACATTATTTATTTATACATACCATAATGATATAAATGATTTCTTTCAAGTCCTGGTAACTTTTACCATTTACAACAATATAGTGAGGGATAATTTTTAGGATAAAGTACATAAATGTTCTCTTGACTATAGGGTGATGTTTTATTAAATTTCTCGACCTTTAAAAGTTATAAAATGATTTTTCAATTATAGAAATTGATTTATTTAGACCCTATAATAAAGGGATCATTTATGTATTTTCCCCAAATTTTTTAATTTCAAGTTCTTTAAAATTTCTCCCCAAATAAAAGAAAATACATTAACAATCAATTGGCTGTCATATAAATCACAACCAATGTATTTTTCTAAACCAATCAAATAGTTTTAGTGGATTTAGAGAGTGTTATTATTATTTAAGGTCTTGAATTCAAAAAATTATATTTGTAATGTTTGTGCGTTAATAGTTAAGAAAGATTTTAAACAAATACTACACTTATAATCATTCTAAATTATTCAATATATATATTACTTTTATATGGAATATCAAATTAATATTCACGCAATAAATATAAAAAAATTGTCTCACCCCATAAATATAGAATGCAACACTACCTTAACAAGAGTTTAAATTGGAAACGTATTGGATATTATTATTTTAGAAACCTAAACATGAATTGATTGTGTTATAACTCCAAAATTAATAAGCAACTTGACCAAAGAAATTAATTATCAAGATTCAAAATCATACTATAAAAGCTAACGACGTTATTATGGACACATACGTTATGGCTGACCTAAAAAAGATAGCGTTCCCAATGCTGGCATTTTCTGTATTGTATCCATGGGTAATTGCAGTGAGTGAAGATCTGTGGTTTATCAATTACCACATCCATATAGTGAACGATGCGCCTAATGATTTACCACCGGGAATTCCATCACTGCGTCTACATTGTATGTCTGGGGATAGAGATATTGGTGAAAGGTGGATGCTTCAGCATGAGGATTACACATGGGATACCAAAATCAACCTCATCAGAACCACACTCTTCCACTGCAATATATGGTGGGAAGGGAAGAAGCTTTTCTTTGACGCTTTCAAGGCCACCCGAGACGAACGTCGGTGCCGGAAGTATCATAACTCTTGCATGTGGTCTGTGAGGGAAGATGGTGTTTATTTCAGCAATGATAATTCCACCTGGTTTAATTCCTATCCATGGAAGATTCAATAAACAGATTAGTTGTAAGAGTTTTTTTTTTTTCTTTATCCTGAAGGGATAGTTGGCTATATATAGATCCTCTCTTTTAATTATCGAATCCCATTTTTCCTATGCATGGTCCTTGACGTTTTGAATTTCATTATGGCTATTTTTCTTTTAAGGGATGGTATGACAGATAGTGAAGATTTAGAGTACAAATGTAAAATTTTATATCAGGGAACACAAATAGGCTACTAATATAAAATATATAAAAAAATATTTGATAAATTGAGATTTTAGAAAAGAATGTGCCCCATCAGCTTCTTACGGTCCATCCAAAAATAAATATTTAGCGTTATTATTATTATTTTTTGAATAGTCTAAAGTGATTATAAGATATTGTAAACACTAATTTTTTTTTTCTTACTATTTTTATTATTATTATTATTATTATTATTATTATTATTAAATAAATATATATATATATATACACAAAGGCCCAAGATCGGGGCCTGATCACGAGCTAACCCAACAATAACCCTAAAACACAACTAGGGTTTCTTTCATCATCAGCCAGCCGTCCCAACCAATGGTCCAACATCCCAGCCGCCGCCTCCAAGCTTCCAGAACATCCACGCGGCGCCGCCTCCACATCCAGATGATGCCGACGCCTTGCTTCCACGACTCTGCCTCAAAGAATCCTCCAGGAGTGCCACGAAGCCACCCACGTTGAACTCTATGGTGAGTCACCACCATAGCTATGGTGACTCACCAGAAGTCCCCACTGGAACCGGTCTGAAGAACGTACCTCCATGGCTATAAAAGCCACCACACCTGCAAGAAAGAGGAAAACGGCAGAGAACGACAAGAAAAAAAAACAGAAAAAAAAAACAAAGAAAGAGCTACACCAACGATCCCAGAAAATACAAACCAAAAGAAGAGAAAAAGAGACTTACCGAGGAAATCGCCGCCGTGAGAGCCTCCACGAGTCATCGGAGAACCGAAACGTCGAAGGAAACTATCTCAGATCTACGATGATTGGTAAGCTTTTAGGTTAAAACAACCTTAGATTGGGCTTTAGGGTAAATAGAGCATCGATTTGGGGGTGTTTTGTAATTTTCCGGCCACCGTAGATGGTGGCCGGCGGTGGTACCGGTGACAAAATACGGCGACCGGTTGTTGTCTGGTTTCCTCCGACGAAGGAAACTATGAGAGAGGCGAGAGAGTTTACAAAACTCTCTCAGCTAGAGAGAGAAGAAGAAATGAGAAGAATGAGCTGCTGGCCCTTCGGGCCAGCTATGAAGGGGCTTAAATAGCCCTCCCCAAACGACGCCGTTTTGGGGAGGGATCTGTCCGTAATTAACAAAAAGATTAATCCCGTCCGCCATCCCTTTAATTTGTAATCTTTACCTTTTAGTCACTGAATCAAATTTTTGATCCTTTTAATTTGGTCTCTACATTTTATTTATTTATATTTTAGCCATTAACCGTATTAATAATATATTTAAGATAAATATCATATTTAGTCCTTTAGTTTTAATAATTAATATTCTAATCCCGAGCTTTTATTTTTAATTTATTTTAATCTGATATTCGAATTTTAGATAAGTTTTATTTTAGTCATTAAATTAATAAATAAGAAAATAGCTTGTTTAATACCTATAATTTTGATTAATTATGAATTAGATATTTAATTTTATTTTTAATATAATTTAGTCACTATTTTTAAATGTGTTTATTTATTTTACTACTTTTAAATATATCATTCTAATTGTATTTTTATTGCTTTATTTAAATATTATTATCATATAGTCATAAAAATATATAATAAATAATAATTTATATTTTTTCAATAAATTATTTTAATATTTTTCAATATCGAAGAAAAGGACAGTCTTAATATAACTGGATGTCCTATTCTGGTATTTTAAAATTAAAAATTATTAAAAATTATTATTTAATTTTATTTAAATTTAATTTTATTAATATCAAAGAAAAGAGCTGTCTTAAGGCACCTAGAAGTTCTTTTCTAATATTTTTAAATAAATAAATAAAATATTATTTATATAATTTTGAAATAATAGGATTATAAATTAAATATATTTTTGAATTTTTAATTTTAATACTAGAGACAATTTATAATTAAAAAGTATCAATTTTGGGCGTTGTAGGGGTGCTAATCCTTCCCTAAACGTAACCGACCACGAATCCCTTTTTATTATTAAAAAGAATGAATTTTTGGTTATAAACGCAGATCAAATTATTTTTTTAATTGATGTATTCTTAAAACTCTTTTAAAAAAATAATTTTTAGGTATTCGACCTACCTGATCCAAAAGGCCGATGGCGACTCCCAAATTATTTTCAAAACTATTTATTCACATCAATTTCACCGCCAAATAAATTTTTCGTGCCCGGACGAAAACCGGTTACGACAGCTTGGCGACTCCGCTGGGGACTGTCAAACTTTAAAATCAATTATAAATTGTCTCTATTAATTAGAAATTAAAAATTCATTTATTTAATTTTTAATTCTTTTCTTTCAAATTTTTATTATTTATTATTTTTATATTAATATTGTTTTTTTTATTCAGGTATTAATTATTTTATTTATCTGTTAGAGGTTTGAATATTTCTCCTCACACACAACACTTGCATTGCATAACATAAAGCTCTATAATTGAGTTTGTCCCTTTTAAGTGGGAGTGAAAGCGACGTTTTCGTGAGAATTTATTCTCCGTGTCAGACCTAGCAAGTAACTTTTGGGGTTCATATGCTCTATGTCTTCGTGAGAATTTATTCTCCGTGTCAGGTATAGAGAAATGTGTCCCCTCGAATTGAACTCGATCCGTTTAAGTCTGTAATGGACTAGGATTGAGGGTTGACAGCCCAAGGGGGCATCAACAAGGACAATTCGAGTACCTTTACTCTTAGAACTGAAACTCTGCATATAATAAACCCTAGAAATTCACCTAATCTAAGACAGTACTGAACCTCTATTCATAGGTGTACACCAAGGAGAAATAAGCTCTAGCTTTTAATTTATTTAATTTATTATTATTTTTTCTCCCTGAATAAATGCATGCGAACTAGAAATCATGCGGTTAGGTTAATTTTTCCAAACAAAGCATGGAACTAAAAAGCATGAGGTTAGGATTTATTATATACCATGATAAATAAATTTTTCTTTCAATTAGTTGGTATTAACCATTTTATTTTTTCTTATTTTCCCATGTATGTTATTTTTGCTCTAATTTGTTTAAATTATTTTCTTTTGTTTGCATTGCATGATCATGACCAAAAGGTGTTAACTGAAAAGACTGTTCATCAAATTAGAAAGAAGTCATAAATGGACAAAAAGTTCTATGATCAAACAAAATATGATGCGGCCAAAGAAAGACATTCTGAGGAAACTCCGAGGATAGAAGCAAGCTATGCACCCAAAGATCGTATGACCATTAAGGAGCAAGAGGAGATACGAGAAATAAGAGAGCAGATGTCCAAGATGATGGATAGAATATCTGTGTTGGCCAAAGGAAAAGAGATTCCAGCACAGAAAGAGAGAGAGCTCAATGAACCTAACTCTGCAGTTTCAGATACGCAAGGGATTTCGATTCCTAACCAATTAGAGAAATTACAGACAGTCGTCATTCGTATTCACAAATCGTATGGAGATACCAAAGAAATGGTGACAACCGTACAAGCTCCCAGAGAAGAGAAGAAATCATGTAATCAGAAATCATCAAAGTTTGGTCTGCTCCCGATGTCTAAAACTCAGGTTCAATCCAAGACAAAAGGTGGTTCTCATCTTGATACTATCCCCATATCATATAAAGAGTTGTATGAAAAGCTACTTGAAGCACGAGAAGTGGATCCATATTATATAAAACCATTCCAACCTCCGTATCCAAATTGGTATGACATCAACGTTCATTGTGAATATCATGCCGGAGCTCAAGGACATACCATCGAGAATTGTCTTGCCTTCAAACGCCGAGTCCAAAGTCTTTTGGATCATGGAACTTTACAATTTATGGTAAATGATCGACCTAGTTTGGTAACTAAGGGTCCTGATAGATTAATACCAAAAGTCTTCAAATGTAAGAATATCAGTAGGGGCGCCCAAAGAGAAGAAGATTTGCTGTGGTTTGAAGCTCAAATACGTCATTTGAAGATTGAAAATGATAAATTGAGCACCAAAATGGAAACCATACATGAAGATTTCCAGAAGGTCAGTCAAGCCTTTCAAAATGCTGGTATAGGAAACACCCCAGAAGAGTGGATAGCAGGGGTCACCAAACTGAAAAAGAGTTGCAACATACATGAAGATCTTGTCCAAAAACTTTTTGAACACAAATGTTCTCTCACAAGGGAAAATGAGCAAATCCGAGAATTGACATAGGAGATGAAAGAACACCAGAATGTCATGGAAGAAGCTGCAGTCCATACAAGCAATATGGCCCATAAGCTGATAAACTAACTTGGTTTTATAGAAGAAAATGGGAAAGTTATTCCCTATATGTAAAGTTTTGTTAGGACTGAAAGTTGTCCCCTACATGTAAAAGTTTTGTTTGATGTACTGAAGCTTTTGTGTTCAATAAAATCTGTTCTAAGATGATCACTCTTAAGTAACACCTTTTCATACATGCATTTACATTTTGTATCTGTGCATTTTCATTTTGTATTTTTACTTTTTTGAATTGCACATTTTGCATTCTTATTTTTCCATTTATGCATTTTTTTCACATTTTTATAATGTCTTGTACTTTAATTATAAAAACATGTTAATAATTAATGAAAGGTTTTGTAACAGTAAAACCAAGGTCATTCATTCATATTACTTTACTATCATCATGAAAACAATGGAGCAATCCTATGAGGGATTACAAGATCAGTGGCTAGAACAATTGACAGGGTTACCTCGGGATACAAGGAAAGAAGTTTCAGATTCAGTACCAGATGGATCAGATCAAATTATCCAGGGAATGGAATCTGATAAAGAAGATACAACTGCTATAGAGAAATCGTGCTATC